CATCTGTTCACATTGTCACCCACTTGTTGTTATAAAACAGAGATATCCTATAAACTTTAGTTTCAGTTCCTTAATTTTCTGTACCCATATTTTAGCATAGACTTATATATATGTATATAGGGTGTCCCAGTTATAATAATTAATATTTATACCACAGATTCCTACGGACATTTGGAACATAAAATGTTATAACACTTTTGACTTTTGAAACAAAATAAAAAATTATAAAATTATAACAGTTTCGATGACGCAAATTAATTACGATTGCCAGCTGATCGTAGACAAATTCACCTTCAATAAGTCGGAATCAGGTGCTTTTTGGGGTGATGTTATTGTTTATGTTTGGTATTAAGTTACGGATCAGCCGAAGAAAATGCACTCGCGTTAAGGTCCATTAGATGACTGAAACACGTTAGAAAAACTACGTACCTATAACAATAGAAAAATCCATGATCGTAAACTGAAGTGGACCTAATGTAGCCCATGACGTCGAGTATTATGTTATTTTAAATAGAAAAGAAATTATAACGACTATGGAATAGTTAGAAGCGGCGCACAAACTACCCTGGCCACCCAGCGTTGGTTAAGGTTTGTAATATAACTTACTAGTGTACGAAAACAAATGTATGTGTTATGGTTGTAAAAGTTGAGACAAGATGAAGACCTACTTTGACCATTCACATGTGTTAAACGTTAGTTTTGCCTGGCAGGGCTCATTAACCCCACGTGGGGTAATACAAGGATGTGTCCAGAAGGACCAAGTTGGTTATTTTGTTTTCATTGAATGTAAAAAGCTAAATATTGATATAACCTCGTATAATTACACTGGTGGAAGTGACTCGAAAAAACACACATAATGTTGTAGTTTCTAACAGGTTGTTCAGTTTGCTTTGAATTGTTGTGGAATTTACTTGTTTATTAGTGTTAGTTTCTTTATTTAGTGGTCATTTCATAAAAGACTATTATAATAAGGACAATTAGTAGTGTGATAGTGCATTCTAGTAGGGTTCTTATTCAACCGTCAGTTGATGGCGAGTTACATTACCAATGCCTATCGTATAATTCGAAATATTCCCGATATCTGGGCCAAAATTCGCAGCAACTGGGTATGCCGCTGTTAGTGTTGCATTGAAGCGAATGGCGGACAATTTAAACATTTTTTATAAAAGGTACGCATTTTTATTTCACTTTTACCTTTTTTCACAAGGTGGAAGTGCATTCGGCTTCTTCCCCATAGGTACTTGTTACATCCACACTAGATCAGCTGAGCGACGTTAGTCGCCTAGATCCAGGCCCGTAATGAAACAAATTGTATGTTCAAATTTACAAAGACGATTTGCGAGCTCAATTGTCACTGGAGTGAAAAATTGTATAACACTTTTTTGTTGTATTTTGTGTCAGGAAGCCATGGTTTTCTTAAATTATTATTATAACTGGGACACCCTGTATTTCCCCGCATCTATTTTTCCTTTTGAAAGTCGTATTTTGCAAGTGAAAGTGATGGTGGAGAAGGAGCAGTTCTTTTTAGTGGTGCGTCGTAAGGCGCATATTTCCATGTATTATTTCGCATATTTGAAACACGCCTCGTTCATCCTCTCCCTCCCTTTTTCTCGCAACGCCACGAAAGATAAATAAAACGGGGAAAAGCAGGAGACATATATCACCTCCTCGAAATTTATGTGCTCGCAGCCAACTTCATTGGAATTCGCGGCAGTTTTAGCGATTGCCGGGAGTTTTCTCCACCGCTCTCGTGAATTACGATATTTTAGCGGAAATCGTAATTGCCCGAGATCCCTGTTGCGAGGAAGCGTAGCAAAAAGGGATCGTTCTCGCCAACAGGGATTCTTCAGTCTCAATTACTGTAAAATCCTGGTGTAGCAACTTTTGCACTCAAAAACGTATGCGACATGCACTCTGTATACATCAACTAAAATTAATATTAATTTCTAATCATTCAAATATTGTAAACAAACGTCCAGTTCAATATATGAATTTTAGAGAACGCACCTGTATTACGTGACCCACTTTTTTTACAATCTTTTACCCCCCCCTCCCCTCGGTGACCGCCATTAGTATATATGAAAACCCCCTCTCTCCTTCTCTAGTTTTTACGTAGTAATTCGTAAATATGATTTTAAATAATTTTTTGAATATAGCGCGAAATTTTCTTAGAGGGCATTGACCACCTGACGGAAACCTAAATACCCCCCTCCGCCTCTGTCTCCAAGCTTGGCATTTTTGAAGACACGCTTCCTCCTGTAATGGGTCACGATGTATGGGTACGTTCCCTTATAATCTTACCAGCTTTTACCCGCGGTTTCACTAGTATTGGTGTCGTAAAAAGTTAAAGGTCATTGGAAATACAATCACTTGATAGATTTGTTTTTAAACCTGAGTAATTTTCAAACAATTAGAGATAAGCCCTATCCCATTACCTGGTTGTTCCATGACAAAATTCAAACTATTTCTGTCTTGCTCACACCTAATTCCATCCGTGCAGGTATCCTCAAGGTCACATCTCTAACTGTTTGAAATGAGTTGTAAAACTAATTTTTGTATCCTTAAGGAACAGTTTTTTTTTTGATAAATAGTACCTATCCCATGTCCTTTTCTATATCCCTGACAATACAATTAATTAGCAGGAATATTCTTAAAATTGGGTTAGAGTATATTAGGGTAATTATTGATAAATAAATGAATAAATTTTGCAATAGCTATATAGTGGAGAAATGGCCTTTTATATTCATTCGTCTGTACTTGTTTTCTAAATACATAGGTTTTAAATTACAATACTTTTTATTATTTTTTTAATACACTCCGAATATAAAATTGCCCCAGTTGTATATTTTAATCTGACTTCAAAAAAGGAGGAGGTTCTCAACTCGACTGTATTTTTTGGTATGTTTATTACGCGATTATCTCGCCAATTTTGAATTGATTTTGATAATTGTTTTTTTGTTTGGTACGTCATATTTCAGAGGTGATTCCATATAAATTCTATCGAAATTGATTCAATGCTTTTTGAAATAAAGTTAATTTTTGGAAAAAAACAAAAACGATTTCAAGACTATACCTACATATATAAACTGAAACTAAAAAGTAGAAATTAATATTTTAATTGCTTCTAAGTAAAGTGCATTACAGAACAATTGGCAGAATAATTGATACTTATATATACGTTCACAATTTATAATCAATTATTTTTGGAGTCGGTGTCAGTCAAAGCAAAAATAATCTTAAT